TACGAATATTATTAACTATTCCCGTAACGGTTGCTAGTGGAGAGAGGAGTTTTTCTAAGCTTAAGCTAATAAAAACCTATCTGCGATCGACGATATCACAATGTAGATTGACAAACTTGGCAACTTTGTCGATCGAAAATGAAATAGCTGAAAACATCGACTTTGATAACTTAATAAAAGAGTTCGCCGATAAAAAGGCTAGAAAAGTAAAATTTTATTAGTTTTTTTAATAAATGTTTATTTCTTTTCATAAATGGTTATTTCATTATTATCCTTCGCCTTTTTTCGTATGGGTTTGAATTGCAATTAGGGGGCGCCGTAGAAATCTCGCCCAGGGCGCTGTTAGTACTAAAACCGGCACTGGATATTTATTGTTACATATACAGGCTGCCAGTTTAATACTATTGTTTTTTTGAATTAACCTATAAATACCATTGTTCCTTATATAAGATTTGTATATATGGGATAATGCCCACTTAAGATAAGTCTCGTTTTCTTTCATAGTTCTAAAATTTAATAGGTTTACATTATAAATACTTTTAGTTAGCAATAAAATATTATCTGTATGTTTTACAAATAAAGTTAATGAGTTTAAAAACAAACAAATTATTTTCATTTTTAACTCTACTTGTGACTTAAAAACTAGTTTTTTGTGGTAACAAAAATTAAAATTTTCAGATAATTGAACCGAAAACAAAACACATTTAAAGAAGAACGCACTCATTACTACAAGTCACTTCTCAGGGGGGTCGAACAGACGGTCAACGTCGGTTTGGGACCTGATTAGATACGCCGATGTGCCCTCCGCTTGACGGACGTACACGCGACCTAGCCTCGTCCACGAGTATTTCCATTGGTGCTTCTTGCACAGCCCACGGACGAGGTGAAAGAGCTGTCGATTGTGACGCATGAGACGCTCGTTGATGTAGATGCGGCGTCCAACCGGAGCGGGCGCGGGGGCCACCTTTCCCTCCTCGTCGACGGGTGCGGGCGCGGGCACGGGCTCGGGCGCGGGTGCCACGACACTGCGGCGCACACGTGCGGCCGTCAGCAGTTCATCGCGCAGGTGTCGGCGCGCCAGGCGCACCACCACGCGGCGCGGCCGCCCGCTTGCCTCCGCCGGCGGCGTGCCCACGCGCTCCGCGAACACAACGTCCCTCGGCTCCAACGCGACGCCTAGTCGCGCGGCGAGGACGGTCACCGACTGGATCACGCTCACACCTCTCTCCTCCGGAAGCTCACCTATCTCAAGGTCGGCCAAGAGGGCCTCCTGGTCGCGCTCGTTGAGCTCCTGCCTGAAGTCCGCGATGGTGCTCTCTAGTCTATTCACTTTGGCTTGAGACAAAATGTAAACAAAGAATCTGAGGTTCTAAAACTTTTATAATGTCAGAAAGTACCTACTAGTCAATGATTAGGTATAATTTATGTAACCTATATTAAAATTATAATGAATTCTGTCTTGATAATAAATATAATAAAAGAATGTGTATTTCAAATGAAACCAGCATAATACTTTGCAAATAATATTTATTCACTGTCTGACGACTCACTGGATGCACTGCCACCAACTTTAATAATAAATTTATCCACAACATCATCAACAATACCATTCAATTTCAGCATTTTCTGCTCTTCTTTAATGACATCGTCAATGCACCGCTTCCACGATTCAGCTGTGATTGATTGTAAGGCATGGGCTAATTTTTAATTTCAGTCATCTTAAATGTTTTATTATTTTTACCAACATATCCCTTGACTTGTGCCCATATGTACAATACAATCAGATGCTTCCCTTTTCCACTTGGGTTTTTCAATCCCATTGACAATCCCTCTCGATGAGCTTCTTTCACAGTTTTAATTGTATGATCTTGCCAAATTTTGTTCATAGTGTGTCCTGTAACAAATATAAGTTCATTAACAACTTATGAAAAATAAAAACAATAAGAATTTAATAGAATTGGTAACATGAAACAACATATTTGAGTAACATTTTCACAGGATAAAGACATGGTATGAAAATAATAAGTATCATTCAATATTTATAAAAAGATTATAATAAAATTATGTGCATAGAAATTAATATATTTTAGTACTGTGATGATAAACAATAAAAAATATGAATTTAGTTTATCAGTTTATGAATACAAAAGGAAATATAATTTCATTCAGAAGTAAATTTCCCACAGGATAAAGTAGTTTAATATTGTATTTTACTAACCTTCATTTATCAAAGTTTCTTCAGTGTAATAAATAGTTCTACCTTCGCTCCTGAGCTTTAGAATATTATTTAAATATTTGATGCGCCATAAAACAATGTCATCTCTTTCAATAAGCCCACTCTTTCGGATATTTAAATTGTAATGATTTCATCAACTTGAAAAAAGAGGTCCCCTTAAAGTTGGGCAAAGTTTCATCTGTATTCTCAGCATGCAATACTTTGTCAACGGTGGGCATCTCCTTATTAAAAAAAATGTGTGGACTATGCGGCGTATCGCAGCCTTATCCATATCGTCCAATGTATCCAACAAAGATACTTTAAATGGCGGAGGCGGAGGTGATGAGATACGGCCAGTACTTTTCTTTTCCTTCACCAACCGGTAAACAGTAGCTCGTGATATGCCCAGTATTTCGGCGGATTTATTGATTATATCACTTTTATATGGATAGGAATCTTTTGGCCAGGTTTCTTCAACATGTTTAAAAACATTTATCACGAGCTCCTTTTCGTTGGAGCGCAATGGTCCACTCTTTGTACGCTTTTTCTTCGGCGAAGAAAATGTACAAGAGCTGCTTGGTCCCGGTTCACCACTCATAACTATAGCTATGAAAACGTCAATTTAACAAGAAAACAATCACAAACAACTTTAAACTTAAAAGTAAATAAAATAACAACAAACTCAACAAATAAAATAAGGAAATAACAAGAATTTAACAAATAACATTGAATAAGCACGCTCGCGTCAACAGGTTGATTGGGAGAGTAAAGATGGCTGACATAAACCAACCGATTACAAAACATAACATTGCAACGTAAAATACTTGTATCATGTCTACTCTTAAATTTTGTCGTATTATAATACGTCTTAGGTTTGGGAATGATTGTGTTTTTAGGTCTTTTTCCATGTCAACTTAAGTTGTTAAAATACTTTTATCAGCAAATTAAAAATATACGAATTTATGATGTGAATGTACGTTGAATATAATGTAAAATATTTTATTTTATTATTCATATGTATGTAACAGGTTTTAAAATAATTAACTTAAATTTTCGCTGCATTTCCTATGTAAATAGTATTTAATCTTTGCTTTTGTCAAACGTGACCTTAAAAAGTATCCATTTTATGGTTTGTTTACATTTTGTCTCACGCCAAAGTGAATGGACTATAGCTCTGCAGTGTCCCCCGCGACACCCTCCGCCCGGCCCTGCTCCAATGCGCCCAGCCTCTGCCCCTGCTCTGCGATAGTGCGCTCCAGCTTTGCAGTATCGCTCTTGCCGACCTCCGCCTGCCGCTGCTCCACCGCGCTCAGTCTCTGGTCGAAAATGTTGAGCCTCGCCGATAGGGAATCCAGAAGGGTGTGCATCTCTTTGCGGAACCCGCATCTCCGCCATGAACACCGCTAGCTCCCCATCACGACGACCCCCCTCACACTCAGCCGCCCCTTCGGATCCCTTTGAGGATGCTTCGGAAGTAGGTGATACTTCACATATGCCCTTTACCGGCGTCTGGCTGTTGTCACCCTTCCAGACATTCTTCTTACAAATGGGCATACCCAGTCCCTACTTATGTCCGCTAACGCAAGGCAAGCCTTGTGGAATTTTAATGGGCACGATGAGCAGGCAGCGCCACCTGTTGCTGACCGCATGCACCGCAGTAGTTAGGCATGCTTCCAGTAAGTTATATTCGTTGCGATGCAATTAGTTATTATACCGCTTCCCACTAGATGGCGTCCTGTAGTCTATGTAGTTTGGAAGACCGTTAATAGATGTCACCGAGCACACAAAATAAAAGTTTGTTTTATAGTTTTCGTTTATTATTTAACTATTATTGATTTTAATTTATTACGTAATTATAGTTTGTATTATGAATATTATATAATAAAAATGTTTATGCTTTTAGGTTGTTTCAGATTTCGTACCTAATATTTATATACCCTACCCAATAAAAAACATAAATATCCATCAGCTGATTTGAGTCACTTATAACTTCTCACAGCACAAAACTTTCGCAACACAAATACTTCCACAACTAATTTAACACCTCTCGAACTAAAGTATAACTACTGGAAAGTGGTACGTTAACCGAGAATATTTTATTTTTTAAAAGAAACCAACACAGTACTTATCAATAGAACGTCCGTGACGTCAATATCAAAAAGGGTAAGTTTTTTCTCTTGTAGTTGTGTGTTAGCGAGAATCGAGCGTAATTATTACCCAATAATGCACCCGTATTTTCTAAGTTATCAAGCTGATGTCCGCAAGTTTGTTCTACACAGTAATCGTGTTACCTTGAGCTAGCTATTATGTTATTATTATTATTTTATTTTTTCCTTTTATTGTTTTGTGTGAAGGCTAGTCGCGATCATATGGTCCACTAGTACTTCCGTTGTTTATGCTCCGCTGCCCACTAGACATACAGTTGATTGACTCACAAACTGTGGTTAAGCAGCTTGGGAGCGGCGACTGCACGCCCAGCGGCCCAAAGTCGTACGGCTCGTCAGCCGCAACCGGTCGGCTCGTGAGCCGCAGCCGTCCGGCTCGTGAGCCGCAGCCGTTCGGCTCGTGAGCTGCAGCCGTTCGGCTCGTGAGCCGCAGCCGTACGGCTCGTCAGCCGCAGCCGGTCGGTTCGCAGCCGCAGCCGGTCGGCTCGTCAGCCGTAGCCGTTCGGCTCTCCATTACTAGTTGACCTACTATATTAGCTATCAACTCAGTGAACTTTCGTCCTGGTCTCTGTCTAGCATGACATATAACGATCATCGACTAAAAGTTGAAATTGCTTCAGATGGCAACGGCGCAAGGAAACTCCTACGTCACGCTTGGCGAGCTGTTGGAGGATATCGGCGAATCATATAGAGATACTGTCATTCTGGAGCGCATTAAACTATTAGCGCAGGAACAGCTGCCGGAGGGGTGGACGACTTGGAAGGTGGCACAGCACTCAAAAGAGGATATATTTGGAGATAGTGTAGACCCGCAGGTTCTCAATAAATTGAGATTTGCTTTGCCTACGGATTTATTGGCAAAAGCATTTGACCCAGATATGTCCCACCTTTCGGAAAAGGGTTTCAGGGACATTAAGGTAAAGCTGCTGGATTGGGCCTTTACAAGAGTCCTGCTCCTTAGCCCTCCCTCTATTTGCAATAAAATAAGAGGATCTGCTGCAGCTACCGAACTTTTCAATAGAGCTGTTGTGTTGCAGAGGCCCATGTCAAGAACCGAAGCGAACAGGGCACTATCGTCGGAACGTGACACTTCTCGTCCGTCTCTGACCGTGAACAGAGTAGCGATCGAAAAAGGTTCCGGATAGACTTGCTGGAACGGCGGATGGATAGCATGTTCTCCACCATTATGGAAAAAATAGAATCTCTTACTTCGGGACATGTGAGTAGGAGTCAAGTTGAGGCAGAAGAGGATGATTCTGTAAAGTCAGATGGAGAGACAGATTCATTACCCTGTTCACGTTCCAGTTCTTTTATATGTGATGATTGGCGAGCTCCATCTCTGGATTTCGCCGAACCTGCAACCGCGAGCAAGAGATTAAACCATTCTCCTCCACTCGCGCTAGAATTTCTTCCTGAAGTAAAAGAGATGGAACCCTCGATTCCGGAGCCAACACAACAAATCAAGGCAGAAGGCATTGCTTACCAGAGATTGGGCTCGGAAGCATGGAATAGGATTAGGTACAAAGAGGTATCGAAACGTCTGCGCGCGGCTCCAGTGTTCAGTGCCTTGAAGGTCAACACCGAGCTAAGTGGTCTGGGCTTCCAATCTCAAGTTTCCCTGATAAAACAAGATAATATGTTAGGCACGATTTCTCATGGTCTCTTAAGTCAAAGAAAAGAGTTAGCAGAAGAACTCAAAAACTTGGCTAAAAAGTTTCCAGATGCTTCTGAGGATTTCAAGAAGCTTCTTTCCGAGGGTTCGGCGTTTAAGGCGACTTCTGACGACTTACTGCAGTTTGTTTGTGGACATCGGTCTCAAGTGATTGAGTTGAGACGAAGAAACATTAAGGCTGGAAATGAGGTACTCACTACGTTGCTTCGACAAATTCCCCCCTCACCAACGCATATTTTTGACGAAAGAAAATTGGCAGAATTTATAAGAGACCACGGTGGAAGTTTGTCTGTTTTTACATCCCGTTCTGGATATACTTCGCATCACGTTTCGGAAAAGCAGAGGTCGACGTTTCGTCGAACCAAGCGGGAGCCTCGTACAAACCCATCGATCCAAACCAAGTCGAAGCAACCTGTGTGGCGTCCCAGACCAGCCCACACATCTACTCCAAAACAAGGTCAGCAGAACAGCCAGACAAAGAAAAGTTCAAACATACGTGAGCAGCGGCAGAAGCAGCAGCATCGCAAATATTGAGCCTCTATTCAGGGGCTGCCAGCTTCAATATTTCTCGGAAAGTTAGCGGGATCTAGGGGCCCCAACTCATGTCATAAATATCATCACTGGTTACAGCATCCCGTTCATACAAAAGCCGCCGTCTGTTTTGCTCAGTGCCAGCATTCAGAAAAAAAATGCAAGAAAACCCTCAATTATGATGTCAAAAGAAGTTCTATCACTTCTACGGACAGGTGTAATAGAAAAATCAAACGCAAAGACGGGTTTCATGTCACGAATGTTTCTCATTCCAAAACAAAATGGAACAGTCCGTCAGATCTTCGACCTCCGAAGGTTAAACCACTATCTGAATCCCAAAAAATTCCGCCTTGTGAACCAAAGCCAAGTTCCCATGGGAAAACTCGACATCTCGCAGGCGTACTTTCACATCCCAGTGAAAGAAAGTCATCGCCGCTATTTAACGTTCGTTTTCGAAAACCAACTGTACCAAATGACTTCCTTGCCATTCGGCCTGTCAAGCGCGCCCTTAATATTTTCCCGCGTGATCAATTGGGTGGCAAGTGTTTTGAGAACACAAGGCATGCGTACCCAATCTACCTGGACGATTTTCTTATCGCCCATCAGGATCCTCAAATGCTAAAAGCACAAATAGAAGCATCGGTTCGTTTGCTCCGCAATCCATGGGCCATAAACTTGGAGAAATCCACTCTGAAACCAACTCAAGAAATCGAATTCCTGGGAATAGTATGGAATACCGTCAAGAACAAGAAAAGCTTGCCGGAGAAGAAGCTGATCCGATTAAGAGGAGACTTGGAACAGGTGATAAGTCATCAGTCTTGGAGTTGGAATCAGGGAACGTCTTTAATAGGCAGGCTGGGGTTTGCCTCGCTAGTAACCCCGCTGGGTCGACTGTTTACAAGGCGTCTTCAAAGAGCGAGTCAGTTTCTTCCGGATCGAAGGCCCATGCAGAGGCTCATATTACCCCCGGGGGCGTTGCAGGACTGCCTATGGTGGAGAAAGAATTTACAACGACCCGGAAAAATCTTCAAAGCAGATCCAAAAGTATTCATTTCCTGCGATGCATCCAACCTGGGCTGGGGTAATCAGATGGGAAATCACTACATTTCGCAAAAATGGACGGAAGAACAGTTACTTTGGCATATAAATCGCAAAGAACTGTACGCGATTTACATGGCTCTGAGCAGCTATCCAGAGTCCCTGAAAGGACAGACAGTAATAGCCCAGTCGGACAACAGGACAGTGATATCGTATTTAAGGAACCAGGGAGGGACGAGATCTCCAATTCTGCTGGAATCAACGAGAAAGTTACTTCTTCTGGCTCATCGCTTAAACGTGGAGCTTCTTCCCTTCTATTTGCCCGGGCGTTACAATACAATAGCGGATCACCTCTCCAGGGGCTTACATCCTCCGGACTGGCACCTGAGCGAGGAAATAGTAACAGTGATATTTCAGAAGATGGGTACACCGACAGTACATTTGTTTGCTTCCAGGCGATCGAAGGTTATGTTATGTCACGATAGACGCCAGGGATCACCAGGCGTTGTATGTCAACGTGTTCAGCAGAGAGTGGCATTTCCACCTAGCTTGGGTCTTTCCGCCTCCACCACTTATACCCAAGGTGCTTCAACATCTAGCCAAATCAGCGTCGGGGAGAACGTGTTTTGGAGGGCAGAAACAAAGAGCACCTTTTCGGATACCAGAGTTGAACAAACATCTAATGGACATGTCTACCGGCCACCCTCCCCCGAACTGGAGAAACCTCGCTTTAGAGATTTGGAAAATACAGGGCGGAGCAGGTTAGTGGAAGGGTGGAAGCCGGAAGACATCGAACTCCTTCAATCAGCTTGGCGAACATCTACGTGGGGGACTTCGGCGTGGAAACAATGGACTTTGTGGTGTTTTTAGAACAGAGCAGAACCTTGCAGACCTCGCCCACGAGATGTGGCTTCATACCTTAGTTTCTTATTCAGAGTAAAAAAGTTAGCATTTGCGACTATTTTAGTCCATAAATCAGTGATAATGACCCTTTCGAACCCAGAGAATAGTGCGAGCTTATCATCGCATCCACTGGTTACTTCTATTCTAAAAGCCATCAGTTTGCAGAAACAAGCTACCAAATTACCTAAACCTCATATTTGGAATATACAAGACCTGTTATCATGGTTGGAATGTCACCCTCCAGATAAAGATAGCATTTTTCAAGTTTCCCGCCATTTGGCGTTGTTATTACTGATTGCTTCGGGGCGGAGAATTCACGACCTTACCTTGTTAAATATAGATGACGAAGGTCAAGCCTCAGCAAGACCTGAAATAACCGTTTTCTTCCCTCCGGGGTGGAAAACGTTTCTATTAAAACTGATAATGTTCCTTCCTGTAAATGGCCCTTAGGCAAAATAGAAAAGCTTCACCCAGGTTCTGAAAATTTAGTCCGCTGTGTGACGCTACGTACCGAAAGGAGCGTCTTACAAAGACCTCTTAATAAGCTTAGTGCTTTACCATATAATAATTTAAGGTTTTCTGACATAAATTGTCATTCTTATTTTAAGATTAAAGTAAATAAAGTAGGAAGTTAAGTTTAACGTTTAAACGTTTTTGTTCTTATTATAATTGACTCTTAAAGTAAGTTTAATTTAAATTTTCTTTTTTTCTAAGTGGAAACCATAATACTGTTTTCGGTAGGGGGTAATGTTGAGTACCTATAGACTCATAGTTATGCGTTCCTACATTTAATCATGTGATCCGTGCGACGGACAGTTGGTACCTCACATCCGCTACCGTCATACACAGCAACGTAGCGCCCTCTATGAAAAACTAAGAAGAAACGTCCTGTTTCGCCTGTGGCCCGGGACAATAACTTGGGTCACTCCACTCGTTTACTCTTTCTTTTCTATTTAAACGATATCTCGATGCTACAATGTATATATATGTATATGAAGTAACTAAAATATAACGTAAGTGCTCAACGCATTCGTATTATTGACCAATACATCGTATTTTAATGGTTCAAATAATAAATTATTATTAAAAGCTTCATTTTAACAACATTAACATAAAAATATGTCATAAATATTGTTTAAACAATAAAAAAAAATATTTCTCCCCTCACAAAGGTTTCTGATTTTGAATAATATAAAAAAAACCAAATTAAAAAAAAATATCAAAATCGAAGCTGTTCCACCGGGTTAATTAAGCGTGGTCGCAACCGAAAGTCCAAAAAAAATCAATTTATTTTAATAAAAGATACAATTTATTGAATTACAATATTAATTATTACTAACTGGACGAGTCTGACCGATGTTAGGTATCAGAATGCCCGTTTCCTGTATTGTGTAAAACGCAGTCGCCGATGCTCACTGCTGCGTCAGCTACACGTGCCTGTCGAATGTTCGTGGGAATCGAGGTCGGCGCAAGCTAAGCATTCTTCATAGAGGCGCTTCACGTAACACCTCCCCCCGTAGATCAGCGAGAGAAACCTTAGTGGTGAATTGAGCTGGAAGCTGCGCTGGACCAGTTCTTTTCCTTGCAGGAACACTATAGATTGTTGGTTGTTCCGTATGATCTTCGTCACTTCCGTTTTGAGTCTTCGTTGTTTGACGTGTGCTGTATTTCCGGTAGGCCAGGAACGCCCCGAGTGCGACCGCACTCAGTATTATAATGTACATAGGGATCGTAGTGTGGTATACGCTATAATCAATTTCCGTGTTCAATCTTAGGGGTTGTTGCATCGCAATCCTTGTATTGACTTCATGCAGATGATTGAGATGAATAGACTTCAGCTTCAACGGTGTAGATGCTGGCGTCTGGACGCTTGAGTCTTGAACTGGTAGGTCCATTATCTTCAATGCCTGCCCCTTCACTTGATTCTTAGTGTTTGATATCCGGAAATCTGGGGTTTCTACGTAACAGTTTTGTGGTACAGATATAAGATAGCTCCCTTGT